CTGCCGTGACTCCAAGCTGCGTCCCCGAGCTGGCACGGGGTGGGACACACACACAGAGACACACAGACAGACAGACAGACAGACAGACAGACAGACACACACACACACACACACAGATACACACAGAGATACACAGACAGAGACACACAGACAGACAGATAGACACACACACACACAGACACAGAGACACACAGACAGACAGACAGATAGACACAGACACAGACACACAGACACAGACACACAGACAGACACACAGACACACACACACAGATACACACAGAGATACACACACAGAGACACACAGACAGACAGATAGACACAGACACACAGACACAGAGACACACAGACAGACAGACAGACACAGACACACAGACACACATACAGACAGACACACACACACACACAGACACAGAGACACACACACAGACAGACACACAGACACACACACACAGACACTCGCACAGACAGACACACACACACAGACAGATAGACAGACAGTGGGTTCAGTGGGGTGAGGGTTCAGTGCCCAGGGGTGAGGGTTCAGTGCCCAGGGGGGACAGCAAGTCTCTAAATGCTGCCCTAAAAGCTCCCTGGGATCCACAGATGGGGAATTCTCAGCCTGCCAGGAAGGGCTGCTGAAGCCCGGGCTCTGAGAGGTTTCCAGGGACGCAGCTGCCTCCTGGCAGGGAGGTGGCAGAGCCGGCCCCAAACGCTCCTCGGAGCTAAAAATGTCCGTCCAGGGTGGTTGGGAAGCTCCAGGGAGGCGGAGGGGCAGTGGGGGGGCAGCTTGTGGGGTGCAAAGGGCATCAAAACACCAAATAAAGGCGGCCCCCCGAGTTCGTCGCTCCTCCCGTGCCGGATCAGGGCGCAAAGGGCATTGGGAAACACCTGTAAAACGGGACCCTAAAGTTCACTGCTCTTCCCATGCCATACTGGGCTTCAAACATGCTGCAAAACACCACAAGCAAAGCACAGCCCCCCCAAATCCATCCCTGTTCCTGCCTCATGTCAGGTTGTAAAGCTTGTGGAAAAACATCCCCCATAAAACACCAACTCCCAAGTTCATCCCTGCTCCTGTGCCAGACTGGGGTGCCAAGGACATTGTAAAACACCTGTAAAACGTGACCCTAAAGTTCACTGCTCTTCCCATGTCACACTGGGGTTCAAACATGATGCAAAACCCCACGAGCAAAGCGCAGTCCCCTCAAACCCCCCCCCGTCCCTGTGCCAGGTCAGGGCGCGAAGGGCATCGCAAAACATCCCCCATAAAACACAACCCCCGAGTTCACCCCTGCCAGGCAGGGCCAGCACGGACCAGCAGGGACCAGCTGGGAACTGGGACAGAGCCCTGCAGGGACACACGGGGCAGCAGAGGGGTCACAGGCCCCTCTTGCCCCCCCCCAAACCCGATAAAACAACCCCTTAATTTATTCAGCCCGAAGGGAGCCCCGGTCACACCCGGCTGAGCAACTCAATTACCCCTGGAATACCTGAGCAACAGCACGGCCTGACTCCATTCCTGGGCGAAAAAAACAGCTAAAAATAAAATAACCTGGCTCTGGGGCATTCGAAATGTCTCGGGGGGTGGGGTGTGGGGTGCAGGGAGGAGGGAGTGGGATGCCGGGGTCCGGTTCCTTCCTCCCCCCGCTAATTTAACTCTGCCTCAAACCTCAGTTTTGATCGATTTTGTCACGTTTTGACCTCGAAGTTGAGCCCCAGCCCCGAAGTGATGGGGTGTCCTACCTTGCTGAGGATGTAGATGAGGTCCCCCCGGTGGAAGGAGAGCTCGTCGGGGTGGTCCCCCCTGCAATCCCAAAGGCCCTGGTAATAATTGGCATAATCTCGTTTGGGATCTCCTGGGGGGAAAAAAAAAACAGAAACAGGGGGTCAAGGGGACAGGGAATGACATTTGGGGCTGTGGGGTGTCGGGGGAGAAGGGGTGGTGTTTGTTCAGGAAAGGAAGGAAGCTTAATTTGGCATTTTAATTAAAAGGTGGAAGACAAAGAGGTATCGCACGAGAGAAAGGGGCTGATCAATAAATAAATGCAACATTTCTCAATAAACAGATTGATAAATGTTTCAAAGACCCTAAATCAAGCCACAACAGGAAGCAAATATGCTGTCCACCCCTGTTCCCAGGAGAGGAGGTCCCAAACATTGGGAATGATACACCCTAATGGCTCAGGTGTCCCTCTTCCCATCGGGCTGGGAGTTTGGAAGGCAGAAGGCCTGTGGAAAGGGGAGGGAATGTGATCCAGCAACTTTATTTTCCCTTTTTTTTTTTATTGTAGACAAGCAAATGTGTGCTGAAAGCCAAAGGGTTTGGGCTGATGGGGCTGTGGGAAGTGGTGCCAAGGCTGGGGGGGTTAAATCTGGAGTTTCTGGAAAAGTCCACGGCGGCGTTTCCAGAACGAAACATCTCCACCTTTGCCATCTCAGAATGGCACTTCCCGTCCCAAAAATGAAACATCTCCATCTCTGCCATCTCAGAAGGGCACTTCCCACCCCAAAAACCAGCTCAGAGACCAGAGCCATCATGAAAGGGGTGGGGCAGGAATCATCCCACCCTGGGATGAACCAGAGGAGCCCGTGCCGAGCTCTTCCACGGCTGCAGGAGATGGGGACTTATCCCAGCACAAAAACAACCCCAAACCCCCTCAGGTTCCCAGTTTTCAAGGCCACAACTGTTAAAAAGATGCTCCTGGAGCAAAGGCTCCAGGCAGGAGAGTGCCCTGATGGCCCAGCACCGAGGCTGGGGGCGAATCCAGATGTCACGACACGGACACATCCGTGATGTGACCCCCATGGATAATTAAAGCCGGTAAAACCAGGGTTTTAGGGAGGGGGGATTTGAGCACGGGGGCTGTTCCAGCGGGTTGTGCTGCTCTGAACCAAGCCCAGAAAGCATAAATAGAAAATATTGAGCACATGTTGGAGGGAAATGTTGCTAATGTGGTCTCGGGGACGGAGCGATAAGGGTGCAGCTGGAATGCTGTGCCCAGATTGGATCACCTAAATATGAAAAAGGACATTACAGAGATGGGTAATGGCACGGCAGGGAGCAGCTGGAATGACTCAGGGACTTGGGGAACTTAAATAGAAAGGCTGGGCAGGAAAAAAAAAGTAGGTCTGCATCCTTTGGAAAGTATTAAAGGGGGAGAACGCAGTGGCGAGGAAAAGATTGGGAAGGGAATAGAAGGAGTAGGAGCTACTGAGTTATTTAAGCTGGTGGTGAGGGCAGGAATCAGGGGTTATGAGCTGGAAGCAGAGGAAATATTGGGGAGCCGAGCAGGAGGATGAGGCCAGTGCAGCTCTGGGAAGAGCCAGAAAATTGTGTAATTAACACAAAAGGTCGTTAAGGGAGGGTGTGAGGACAATGTCACGCAGCAGAGAATAATCCGGGATGGGGGGATGGCCTTGGCATCCCCCTGTGAGACAGGGATGGGGAAAGGCTTGAAATATAGCAGGAATATCCAAGTGTTCTGTGGAACATCATAATTGACTTGCTGGCAAAGAGATTTAAACACAGTGGTAGAAAACACACAGCGAAACAGCAAATAGAAAATAGAAAATCCATCTTCCTCCAGGATGTTTCCAGAGCCACAAGTGCCCCTGGAGATCCCCTGGGATGAGGACCCGAGGATGCTGCTGGGAAGCTGGAGTCCCAGCTTCCCCTCCTTCACCAGGAATTAGGAGCTGCTTCCTTATCCCACAGCTGCTCTTTCCTGCTCACCAGAGGAACGGGAGGACCTCGGAGCCATCGTGCCACCCCAGCCAGGAGGGAGGGGAAGCATCAGCCTGGATGTGACACCCCGTGACTGCGAAGGGAGACAGTTTTCCAGCCCACAGGAAGAAGGTTCCTGCCCCCAGAAGTGTTTTTTCCAACCGTGTCAGCTGCTGGCAGGGAAGATCCCACCCCTCCCTCCGACCCTGCCTTCCAAAGGTCAGGATTTGTTGTGCCAGAGGAGGAAGATGCTCCCGAGGAGAGCGTGGCACTTCCTTCCCAGCACCAGCTTCCAAACCCACAGGGATGGTTGTGCCAGCGACCAGGGATATTGTGTTAAAAGAAAGTAACATTAGAATTCATTAAGATTATGAGTGTTTGGGAAAAGGGATCCCATTTTAACACTCCAAGGCCGGGCAAGGGAGAGTTTCCCTCTGCAGCTCCCTCGGGGGATGGTGGATGTCCGTGATCCTCCTGACCCAGCTCCAGGCTGGGTGGGATGTGGGATCCAGACAGGCCATCCCAGGACTCCTGCATTGACTCTGCTCCCTTTTTAGGGACAAAAGGTTCTGTTTCAAAAGCCCCAGACAGTCAATCCGTGATTTCCCTGCGCTGATTCATCCCGATGGAAGCGGAGCCGCTCCCCCTGCACGGCCTGGGGGGGTCACGAAGGAAACCAGCCACATGTGACGAGTGCTCCCTTCCCCTCTGCACCCCGGGATGAGGCTGTGGGAGAGGCAGGATCCATCCCAGTGGTTTCCCTTGGGCTTCTTGCTTCTCCCGTTGATGCTGAACCCTCCTGACAAAGTGGCTGCAGCTCCGGGGTGTCACTGCTGGGTGTGACAGGGAGGGGACAGGGGCTATGACAGGGGATGGGGCTGTGACAGGGACAGGAGCTGTGACAGGGAACAGCCTGGCAGGCGGTTTTGTTTTCCAGAGGAAGGGATTTTTGCTCTGTTTGTGCCACAGCCCCGAGCGGAGCAAACGGGACTCGCGGCAGGAGCAGCCCCCGGCTCTCAGCTGGACTGTGGGGCTGCTCCGGAATCGTGGCATCCTTGTGGTTCTTTAGAAAGGAGAAACAATGGTTCTCCACGAGCCAAACGCCGCGTGATTCAATCAGGAACTCGCCCCTTCCCTCCCTCTCGGAGCACATCCCCCTGCTCCAGGATCCGGCGGCTCCTGGTCCAGTTGGACGGGAGCACAGCTGGATTTCCGAGGCAAAAGGCACGAGGGGTTGGGGCTCCCGGGGCTGTCGTAACCTTTCCCTCTTGAAACCTTTCCCTCTTCTTGAAAGGCAGCCAGGTTTTCCAGAGGCAGGAGTCTAACGCGTTGTGGAGTGTGAAAACAGCGCCAGGGCTCGGAGCGATCCTGACGCCGCCAGTAACAAACCAGTTCGAACCATTAACAGCAATTAGAGCCGGCGGCAGACGCTAATGAGGCCGAGCAGGGTGTTAAAGGGCCGTGACAGGCGAGAGGCAAAATCCTCAGGAATCCCCGGGGTGAGGGATCAGCGGCTCCGGAGGTGCCGGGCTCTCACAGAGCCGTGCTCTGATCCCACATCCAGCTGGGAAAGCCCCGGGAGCTGCTCTCCCGCCGCCGGGTCCTTCGGGGGGTTTAAATAACAGGGAGGGTGAGAGAGGGAAAGGAAAACGTGTTTGTGCAGATTTCCCACCCCCTCTGCTTTCCTCACACATCCATTCCCATCCCTGCTGCCGCCCTTATCCCACTCCACGGGGTAAGGACAGGGGGTATCTCCGTGGGTAAATGTTCAGCCCCACTTCAGGAGCACCACGGAGTTTAGAAAGTTTGGAATTAGCAGTTTTCCCAAGCTCTGGGTGCTGGTACCAAATGCTCCAGTGGTCAAATCATTCATCGTGCCAGAGGGTGGGGAAAAGCTTCCCAAAATCCCTAGCAGAGGGGAAACACTGAGTTGCTCCAGTCTCTGGAAGCAGCTGGGGCTCAACCCTGTCTGTGCTTCCAAGATTTCCGCAGGAACAGGCCCGAGCAGTCTCCCGGGCTGGGGACAACTGCCCAAGGATCATCCAAGGGGGGCTGATGTCAGCTAAAGGGAATTATGGGATCGGGCTTTCCAGAAACACCAGGAAATCAGGAATGAGGGCTCTTGGATCGCTGGGAGGGGAAAACCAGCCAAGCAACTCTCGGGGTGCTGGTGAATCCAAGAGAGCACAGGAGTGGGGCTGCTTCATCCACCCACCATCCCACGGCGAATCCCTCCCATCCCTGTCATCCCACAGCGGGATGCAGAGCGTCACTGGGGCGAGACCGAGGTGCACACAGTGTGGGGAGCTCTCCCAGGGCAGGCTGTGGGGGCAGGATGTGTTTTCCAGGCAGCAGGAAGCCCCCGGCCAGCCCGGCCCCGGCTGCTCGGACACAAGAGCCGCTTTCCTGTGCCGGGGCGGGAAGTCCATGGAAAATCCAGGAAAAGCGGGCAGGTGGGAGCGGGGAGGAAACAGCCCTTCCGCTCCCATCCCACGGAGCAGGTCCTCAAGGAAAAGGCAGGGGTGGGGCTCCGGCCACCTCGGCGGGATCTCGGTTCCTTCCGGCTTCCCGCGCCGGGATCCCTCCCTGCGGCAGCTTCCTCTGGGCAGGACTCGCTTCCTGCCCCTGCTCCGGGTTCTTTCTGCCCCCAGAGCCTCTCCCCGGCCCCTTGGGATGCTCCTGCTCCACATCCAGGATGGGATGAGGGAGAGGGATGGGAGTGACTCCGTGGGGATGCTCCTGCTCCACATCCAGGATGGGATGAGGGAGAGGGATGGGAGTGACTCCGTGGGGATGCTCCTGCTCCACATCCAGGATGGGATGAGGGAGAGGGATGGGAGTGACTCCGTGGGGATGCTCCAGCATGCCCGTGACACCGGGAAGGAGCAGGGGCGGGTGTTGGGGCTCCTCCACCAGGAGCTCCCCGAGGCCACCCCCCACGGGGTGTTCATCCCAAAAGCAGCACAGGACACCCCACGGGGTGTTCATCCCAAAAGAAGCACAGGACACCCCACGGGGTGTTTATCCAGAGCATGGAGAAGGTGGGAAGAGCTGCCCAAGCCTGAATTCCCCCAGCTGAAGGGTTCCATCACTCTGCTCCTGGGGATTCTGCACCCACCCTCCAGCACCACCCACACTCCAGGATGCTCCTGATCAGCCCCCACAACCCTGAGCTGGGGTTCCTTCGGGTTTCCCAGAGCAGGGTGGGCTCTTACCCTTCCTCTCTCCGCTCCCACCGTCCTCGCTGTCCTCCGGGAAGGGCGGATCCAGCTCCTCATCTGCAGGGGGGGGAAGAGCAGAGAAGTCAGGGAAGGGCTGTGAGTGCCACGGCCACCCCAAACCCCCTGGCAGGCCGAGCGCTTCCAAGAGAACCCGACTGCCAGGATAATAAATTCCCGGCCTAATTGCGGAGAGGGGAAGGGAGGAAGTCACAGATAATATTTTAAAACGTGTTGCACGAAAAAAAATATGAATTGTTGTTAAGGCTGGTAAAGACAAATCACCTCTCAGGGCCCCATAAATTCAGGCAGCACTTTGCTGGGGTGTCCTGGAGGAAGAGATGTTTCCTGTGCTGGACTCACAGCCCAGGGAAAAACGGGACTCCCAGGAGGAATTCCAGGACAGAAACGTGAGGAAGGAGCTGGGATGGAAGGAGGAATTAAGGAGGAAGAGGAGTCAGGCAGAGGAGGGGGGGGAAAGGGATGCAAGAAATGATGCCATGGAACAGGTCGAGGAATTCCAGTCATGGGGAAGGCCTGGAAAAATGGGTGCAGGCTGGCAGGAGCTGTGCAGGAATGAGTTTAAATCTCAGGATGAGGAGGACACGGAGGGGCTGGAGGGTGTGCAGGGAAGGGAACGGAGCTGGGAAGGGGCTGAGGGAGCTGG